ATATATATATATATATATATATATATATATATATATATATATATATATTTTATATGATATCATTGTATATAAGTTAAATCCCGAAAATTACACTAAGAATAAGAATTAAAGAAATGTTATGTTGTCAATGATGTAAATGAACAAATTGTTTTCTTCTAGCTTTATATATGTTTGTTCAAACATGGTAAAGAGTTATGGAACATTTAAACAAGTTAAAAAACAAAAAAGAGAGGCTACATGGATATCTATCTATGGCAAAAAAAATTAAAATTCCACTAATTAAAGTGATTTGAGGGCCTACAAGTAGATATTCATAAAAGGAGAAAGCTATAATTTTATTTTATTTTTTTTTAAAAAAAAAAAGAAGAGAAAAATAAGCAACCAATAAATATTCATATCTACCTACATCTAGAACACTTTAAAAAGTTAATTAAAGCTCATAAAAGCCAAAAAAAAAAAAAGGAAATCAAACACTAAACTAATCAAAAGGAAAACAAAAATTGCTCATTATTTACAAAAAAAATCTTGAATGTAGGGGGTAAAATGGTAAGTAACATCTCATTCTTAAGAAAAAATAAATGAAAAAAAAACAAAATGTGGAATTATTAACCTTTATTTTATTTTTTCATTAGTGTCCAATATCTATATTAAGATCTCGATTAACTCGACTTTTTACTATCATTAAAAAAAAAATATTCTTATACTCAAAACTCGTACTCGAAATCCATCCTACCAAGTGGGCAGTCCCACATAATGGAAAACATAACATGTAAAGAACAGAAGGGAGCACTCAGAAAACAGAGAAAGACATAAAACAAGAAAAAAAAAATGAAATGTGGTACTATTAACCTATAGTTTTTCTAAAAAAGAAATTTCCGCCCGTTATTCAGTATTCACATTGTAAATTCATAAATAATAACTATAACATTATCATCACATCGTATTATCACACTTCATATCAATAAAAAAGTGAAAATCCATACCTAAACATGTCTTTTAACTATGTTCGCTACGAAGGAAAATGTACTTAATTTTTTCTACTTAGAAAATAAATTCTTTAAAAAAATATTAAATGACTACCTAAACGGAAATACAAAAAAAAGTTTCACGAGTATCATTCTACGTTTATTAATTATGTTTGCACTTCCCTCAAACACACCTCACCTTCACCCTAACCACCCCTCCACCCCCACATTGTGGAAAATATATATAAAAAAAAAACAAATATACAACATAGAATTAAAGACACAAAACAAGGTTAAAATCATAAAATAAAAATAAAAATTGTGTTTTTGTTTACCTATTAACTTCAAGAGCAACAGATTCAGGATCAGGATGTTGACCAGGAAGAGTAGTAACATTCAAGAAAATCCCAAAACCTAAAGGAAAAAATGAAGTTAAAATCAAGAAAACCACAATGTAGCTTATTTGAAACATATTTTCTACAATAATATTTGAGTGTTTTTTTTCTTTTTTTTTGTGTGTTTTTAGGGTTAGTGAGTTAGCTGCATTGTGGACAAGTTAAGTGAGAAAATATAGTGTGTAGACTATGGAAAAAAATAACAAAGTGATGTTATATGTATTTTTTCTACTACTTTCTAACATGATTTTATAGTGTCATTGTTTAAGAGAATCTCTTACCCTGGATTCACTCATGATTTAATAGTGGAAAAAGAAAATAGAGGGTTTTCTTTCTTTTTCGATTAACGATAAAGTTATTTTCGTTTGTGATGTATGTATAAGTTACTATTTTGAGGAGTGGAAGTAATTAACGATGTTTGTGTTAGGATAGACTATCTATATTATGTTTGTATTTGTATGATTTACGTCACGTGTTTGAATCATCGATTCTATTTGTGTCATGATAGCTAGACTGTTTATGTTTTATTACTTTTATCGTGTGATTTATTTTTTAAAGTTCTACGTGAACGTGTGATGCTTTGAATATTACTACATTTTGTATTTAGTTTATCATTCTGTGTCATCTGTATATAATTATTTTAAGAAAAAAAACTAGCAACTCGATATTAATCGTTGGACTAGTTCAGATTAAATATACTCTTAGCATGATGTAATATTACGTTTTTATTCAAATCATCTCATAACGTTTAAAATATCCCAACTCAACGTCCCAAAATCAACTCCCCCCTCCTCCTACCACCCCCATCAAGGGCAATCCAATAAAAAGAGTACTTAGAAGATAAAAAAAGGATGAAAAAGTATAGTCTCAAACTTCTTTTACATGAAATTTTCATACTTTATTGTCAATAAAACTGGTTTGGATATTGGGGAAACTAAAAAAATTATTTATATTATAATGGACCACTCAATTCCTAATTTGAGGGCCATGTATAACTGACTTATGTCTTTAATAACATTATTTTTTTTTTGTTATAATAATAGTAATAATTACACTTGTCACATCCTCTCTAGGAATTGGAGACAATTTTGAATAACAACTTTATGGTATCATGGAAGGGTAAAATTCAATTCTTATATTATTATATATATTTTGGAAGAAGAAAAAAGGGTAAAATTCACTTCTTATATTATTATATATATATATATTGGAAGAAGAAAAAAGGGTAAAATTCACTTCTTATATTATTATATATATTTTGGGGAAAAAAAGAAGGGTAAAATTCACTTCTTATAGTCAATTTTCGAAATTTTTTTATATAATATAATTAAAGAATAATATTAATATGATAAAGCTTTAAATTCTAAGGTGTTACTTGTAGAATTTAAAATTTCTTGATATTTCTAAAATATATTATTAAAAATGGGGATGATTTACCAAAATAATTTAAAAAATGGATAGCCATGAGTTTGTAAGTTTGCTTCATGAACAAAATTTGAAGAATAACAAATTTAGCCTATTAATAATTTTTTTATTATTTTTAATCTTGAAGGTTTGTTTATGGAGCAAGATCAAAGTGTTTTAATGATCAATCCATTTTGAAATGATTTATAGTATCTATAATTTATTTTAAGCTGAAAATTTAATTTTAAATTTATGTTAAATTAAATTACATCGTATAAATTGAGACAGATGAAAAAAGATTTTCATTATAGCTAGAGCTCATTCTCAAAGGTCATTATGAAATTTTCATTATTACGTGATTTAATGAGGTAAAATACATGCAAATTAATTATGATTAAGAAAAATAAACTATAAATTTAAATACATTCATATATTAACTTGATATATATCTCGATGTGAGTAAGTTTTACCGTTATTGATACCATTGACACTTTGCAAAAAGAACCTTCTTTTTTTAAGCCTTTAGAACCGTAATTTGCTCAGTTTTTAGGTTAAAACTGAAAAGTTACCCTAATTTTTGGCTACATATATACCTTTTTCCTTTTTTTTTGTAATTCTTTTAAATAAAGTTAATAGGGTCTTTTAATGTCCTAAGAAACAAATTGATTGTTATCAAATTATGACTAGCACCCTAGCACTATAACAGTAATTATTTTTAAAATTACCAGACCTTAAACATGACATTTTTTAAATATTAACCTCCCTAATTACTTCTCCTTCTTTGTGGTATTACTATGGTCGAATTCAAAATTTAAATCTAAAATACTTTAATTTTAAAGTTTTTTAGCAGTATATTCAATGTACTTTGATAAATAGTTGAACTATGTCAAGAATGTCGGGTTTGATTGAACCTTCGATCAAGGAAGGAGCTCGAGAGTAGAAAGTGAATCTGACTAAATTCACTAATTTTGATCCAAATTTTATTTGTTTTGCAAAAATAATTATTTGGTATGTATAAATTATTACTTAATAAATCAATATCTTAAAATATAAAAACCCATAAATCATAAATTTTAATTTCTAACTTCACGTAAAGTTTCAGCAAATAAAGTTGCATTCTCAACCAATGATGTTGTCATCTTAAGAAAAGATAATTATACTTTAGATATCCAATTTTAGATTAATTAAATCTAAATTAATGATATATATATATATATATATATATAATTAAACTATATATATCATTACAATATTTCAAGATGCATCATTTGCTTTATTTAAAGTCACTTAGACAAAGCAAAAAAATGAAAATGAAAAAATGTGACAATATTTCTTTACATAAATAATTACATATACATTTTCAAGCTTGAGAAGAGAGGTATATTCTTTTCCTATCAAACATTATAAAGTAACAAAACTTCTTTAATTTCTACCAAAATTTAACTATCATTGGACCCTTTATTTTGTCTTATCATGAATCTATGGCTATAATCTTTGAAGAAATTATAAATAAAAATTAAAAATATTTTAAAGTAAAATAAATATTGTTCTTTTTGGAATATAGTTTTTAAAAAATTGTATACATATAAATTGTATCACACAAAATAATGTAAAAAATAGATAGAAATTTAGTTACTAGACCACATTATTAATCCCATCATTGCATTTGACTAGTTTGTGTAATTTGACCATGACAAGTTATTTATTTGCAGTTGGATTTCAAATCTGTTTTGCAATTCTATATTTATAAATTCTAAATAAAATATAAAAATTTGGTATATAATAGCAAATTATTAATTCAAATTAAGTGTTGTAAATATACTTTCATTTAATTATACTTTATAATAAATTATTGTAAGGCCTCTTTTCTTAGTGGAATCTTGCTCGCCTCTCTCGCTTTTATAAAACAAAAATGTATAAAATATAAATATATTTGTGTGTGTATAAAGCGAGATGAAATTGTGTATACACATATATTTTCATTCCCCTCTTACCGATCTCGCTTGTCACCCTCAACTCTCTCGCTTATACGAACAGAAATGAAATGTATAAATGATGTTTCTGTTTGTATAAAGCGGGAGAAAATTATATATATACACACGCAAATACATATATTTTCGTTCTATACACTTATAATTATACAATACAAATATTCTCCTATCCAGTTTTTTTTATCTTTCTCTTTACTCGTTTCAATTTATACATACACAATACGATTGATCTTCTGCACAACTGCTTTATTTTGTATAAGTATAGAGTATTATACAACTGTTTTCTTTGTATATGTACATCAAATTGTACAACTATATTTTTATATATATATATTTATATTTGCTACGGAGCGCAATTACGCAGAGTAACCTCGTGGAGCTATCATCATGACAATTACTTTTTCGAAGAAAAAATAATAATTTTGGCGTGTACTATATCAGTTTTCTGTTAGGGTTTGTTGAGAAGAAGAAACAACTACTAAAATTTAATATCACATATGCTCCCTAAATATTCATAAATAGATCAAGACGTCAAATATTATCTTTATCAAAATTATTCTTCCAACATTCCTAATGATTAAATACATCACAACAATGCGATGCAAATAACAAGGAAAATCCAGAGAAATCAAATTTCCATCATATATAGAAACATAACAAATATTCATTACTAAAATTTTTATTATTATTCCCTCCTTTCGATATTATTTGTCATAATTTTTATTTTTAGCGTCAAACTATAAAAATTTTAACTAATAATTTAAGATGTATTTTTTCATCATATCAATATACAAAAAATTCTAATTTATAGTACTTTTCATATTGTATTAGAATATTTAAATTTTTTTGTTTAAAATATCAAATTAATGTGATTTAATTTAACTTTAAAAATTAATCAATTAATTTTTAAAAAGCGTAACATAACAAATAATACCAAATAAATATATATATATATAGCTAATACGTTACGTAACTCTAGCCAGTTACCAAATGATGATATATTTAATTGAATGTGGTAAAGTTAATTTTCAACATCCTCGAAAGTAGAGCTATAAAAGAACAAAAAAACGTTATATATAGTGTATAGGGGGGTGCAATACACGGAGACTTTTTGAGCCCAACATAAGACTAATATACAACATGCTGTCCACTAATATACAAAACTCGAAGCTCCTTTTTTGAACTTTGTATCTTCATGGGTCCTATCTCCTTTGACTATTTTTTTTCTTCTTTGCAAGACTTTAAAGGGTATAATTGGTAAAAAAAAAATATTTTTTATCGAAAGTTTTAATTAAATATATTTATATGTTATTTAGTAAAATGTTATGAAAATGGATAGAGATAGGGTGTAGGGCGCATGAGGTGTGATCGAGTATCGGGTACGTGAGGAGGAGATTATAAATTTGAAACCAAACATATCATTGAGTACTTAGTTCGTTTTGGTTTTTTGTTTGAATTTAACTTGATATGAAGCTTTAAAAAAAATGTAACAGCTTAATCTGCTAGTGATGTTTGTCTGCTTTGGATCAACCTAGACCTTCTCGACTTTAAAAATATCACTAAGATGTAATGCTTTACTTTATATAAATAAAATTACTCATATATTATATTAATGTGAATTTTTAACATAAATTAGGACATCACATATACACCTTCTTATAAACTCAACGTCCTCGCTAAAA